GTTGGCTAAAGATCTCTAGTTGTACGCGCTGGTGCACATCTTGTGCTGATGTGGTGATATCCAGATATTGTAAATAGCTTGGCATGCATTGTTCTTATGCAGCTGGCAGCAGCGGGGCGAGCTGCTGGGAAATGCCTTCCTGCTTGTGAGATACGCAGGTGGTGGGGCGGAGGTGCTCAACGCTGCTGCAAGCTCAGTAGCAACAGGAGACCAGAACTGGTTGGGCTGGGCTCTGAGCAACCTGATCCAGTTGAAGATGTCCCCCCTTGTTGCAAGAGGGTTGGGTGAGATGGCCTTTAAAGGTCTCTTCCAACTCAAACTATTGTGATTCTGTGAACTTCATGCAAGGTGTATTGGGAAAGGCAGTCACACCCAGGGCAAGAGGTTGAATCCTTTTGGTATTTTTGCTGAGCGATTCTCACCAGTGTTACATACACCAAATTTATCTCACATGAGCAAAGGTCTTATAACCTGTGGGCTGGGAAGACCTCAGTAGGATCTGTGTGAAGGCTTCCCATAAGCCATCTCTGAACAGCAGCAGCAGTCATTAACAGTCAGACTTTGGGATGGAGAGAACCCTTGTGAACTCAGATTAATGGAAACCCTGTCGCTCTGGAGTTGTACTTCATCTCCCTCTGTTAATAAAAACAAAGCTGTTGCTAAAGAACATCATAAATGTACAGCTTTTCACACCTACTTACAATCACATATGAATGCTGCACAGGAGGAATACTTTCTCTTGAATGTGTACAATGCCAGAGTCTTTTTTAAATACCATGGAAGGCAGGCAGGAACCTGATTTTCCTTTACTCCTGGTGAAATGTATAGTAATCTCTGAGGGAGGATTACTTGACATTTTTTCTGTCCCTCCACTGCAAAACTACAGCTTGCATGGTACTTTGTCCTTACCAGTACTAGAGGTGCATTTGCAAAAGAAAAAAAGTTAAAATTTGGAATTAACTAATAATTAGACAATTTTCTAAAGAAAACAAAAATTACAGAATCTCTTTACCAAGTGTGTCTGCCGACTACCTGGGACTAGAGTCCTAGGGAGCCACAAATCCTTGTTTAACCTGATTTTTTTGTCACCTAGTACATAAATGTTTTACTCAAATCATTCAAGTACATCGTCTGCTTTAGTAAAAAGAGTCCAGAAATGGGTGACCAATGTTGCAGTAAAAGGGTTTGTTTTGGGAAAGAATTTCAAACATTATGTAACTTGACTTACCTATCACTCCTTTTTGCATAGTAGAATTTGTGCATATGTAACCCTAAAACCATGCCTATGGGCAGCAATACTTTTCTGGACTTCTAAGCTAATGATCAATGGTTGCTGTGGCTTTCTGGGCCTGCCCTTCTTCCCACTATCACGGTTGTTCCATTGGCCTGAAGCTTCCTATGCAAAAGCCAATGTTTTACCAAATACATATGGAGAAGTGCTGTATAAGAAGGATAATTTCTGAATGAGCTAACTCAGGTGCTGCAATGAAGTTGGCATGGCCAAGCAATCAGTGTGGTCTGTGTTGTGGTGGCTGTGTCCACTTTTAACTTTGCTCAGAGCTCCTGGGTTGGATGTCTGCGCTGGTACTTGAGGGATGTCTTAGCAGCTAAACTAATCCTGAGGGAGATGTTGTGACTTGAAACTATCACCAGTGGAAGCAGCATGTACTATGCCAGTGTGAGGCTACTTCTAGCAGTAAGACTGGCTGTAGCTCACTTGATGTCTTTAATAAAATCATGCATGATGTTTTTTAACAATTTTTTTAACCCTTGTCTCCGGAGATTAAGTGATAAGACCTGTCTGGTCTGGTAAAAATTTTTTTTCCTGTATACTCTGGCTTATTTATAGTTGTTTGTGCCTCAGACTATAAGGTAAGTCTGTTTTCCATACAGGGTGACCAACCTATGCTTGGACTGATGTTCACATTTTCTTAAACAGTGTTTCACTGACTGTTTTATTGCATGGCAGCTGTGAGACTGAGCCTCATAGTGGTTCTTATCTCTAACAGTGTTCCAAACCCAGTTTGTTTCAACCCTGAACCCTGTTGTGTAATTACAAGCAATAAATCTGGAGGATCTAGTCCTCATGTATATGAATAGCCCTATTCAAACAAACAAAACTTTACTACCAACTTTAAGGAGGTACCTCGGTCTGAGAAAGAAGAACTTATTATGTGACAATGTGCTACCATTGAGTGGTGGGGATTTTTTCTTCCAGAGCTTCTTGTGTTATCTCCCGATTTCAGTGATTTTTTTACTTTTTTCTATGGCCTCATGCTTTTCTCTTCCCCATGTCTCCATTATTCATTGAATCACTTCCCTGTTTCATCCTTTCTGCTTTTGGGAGGCTTCCATTGCACCCATGTCCCCCAGAAGCTGTGCTGGTGGCAGTGGTGGCACGGGTCCCTGGGGAAGCACAGGTGTTGGTGGCCAGGGGGGAGTTGTCCTGTGGCATTTGCACTACGGGGCCACAAACAGAGCATTCCCTCTCCCTAAGAGAGGAGCTAGGTCTGTGATCCACTTGGACATCCCTGTCCTCACTTTCCCATGCTCTATATTTCCTACTACCTTGCTGACAGGCTCCCTGTGACAACGATGACTCCCTACACCGTGAGGTGACACTGAGACCTCACTGCACACTTCCCCTTCTCCCACAGCCTGGGAGAGGTATCTCTGTCTGGGCTGCCTGGAGCTCCGCTCTGTTTTTTTCCACTTGGTCACCTGGAAGCAAAGAAATGGTTAATGCAAGTGAGCAGCTACTCTTGAGAACTGTTGCCTGTATACCAGCTTCTTCCTCTTATTTAGAAACAACAAATAAAAAATAAATGGAAAACCTTGTCTTTCTTTACTCCTCAAAAATTCTTGAGAAGCTGATTTTTTGAGACTTGATTCTACTTGCATCCTTCCTGAAACAATCGAAACTGCTGAAAATGTTCATAAAAACAGCATACGCCCATGCTGAGAGTTTTGTTTTGATATACAGCCTGCTTTGCAGTGCGATTGAGCCATCAACACACTAGTTAAGGAGGTCATTTTGCCATGGCCCTGAGAGGAGGCTAATCTCCAAAAGGTACAAAACAGAAGAAAATATCTGAGCCCCAAAGCTGCTTTTCTTTCTCTCAGCTGTACCAGGCAATCTAATAAAAGATATCTAAGCAAATCACCCTTTGCTTGCTTGATACTGTCAATAGGATTGCTCTTGAGTTATTTTAACTGTATGGCTTGGTGAGTTGCTCTTAGCATACGTATGTGGTTTACCATCTAGTCTTTGCACATGAAAGTCTACAAATCATTACTGCAGACGCTTGCCATGCTAAACTTGCTTAATTAAAATATTCTCTTGTTCAAAGAGGTTGAGAGCAGACAAACTTGGCTATTTTTCACTTTTTTCTTGCTTATGAAGGCAGTTCTACAAGTAGTTGAGAAATGGTCTGGATGGTCATGCGTTTGGTGGTGAACAAGGTTATGAAGTAGTGTTTTGTTGCAACATATACATGGGCCGTACAACCTGCTGAAGGCAATGCCTGATTATCAGAGACAATTTCTCCAACAGAATTCAAACTTATGTTAGTCCTTTATAGACATAATATTTCATCTTATTTCAGGGAAAGAATGTACCCAGGATGAAAGCACAGCTGCAGCTATCTTCACTGTTCAGCTGGATGACTATTTAGGAGGAAAGCCTGTGCAGAGTAGAGAAATTCAAGGGTATGAGTCTACTGAGTTTGTGAGCTACTTCAAAGGAGGAATTAAATACAAGGTAAAGAGCCAGTTGCCAAATTCTACAAGCATATGTAACATTGTTCCCAAACTAAAATAAAATCTTTTGCTTTGTGTCTGTTACTGAAAACTTAAAAATTGTTTCTTGATGTTTAGTGGTTTTAGATCTGAACTACCGGTCTTAAAACAGAGAAGTCCCTGCGCTTGTACAGAAAACAGCAGCTTGTTTACCAGTGTCCCTTCTGATAATTGAAACCTCTCCCAGTGATTTATTACCTCCCCCAATCAAACTGTCCTGAAATTTTGTACTTGTGTCTAAGGGTGCTCACAGTAAGGACACTGTTTCAGAGGCAGAAGATGTCACAGAAACCATGTCTATGTTGCAGACTGAATCATTTTATTCAAATGCAGAACCCAATGTGCTTACGTCGTTAAAAACATGAGCAAAGTGGAAAAGACCAAAACCTAACTGTAGACTAAAAATGGTGCTTTTGCAATCCTACTGCAGTTTTTTTATTTTGAAGTTAAAAAAAACCTCCCAAATACTTTTCATGAATTTTTTTATTTGAAAAAGCTGCGGTGTTAGCCTCCCTGTTGTGTCACTTCCAGAAGCAGAATATTTGGAAGGAAATTTTGAGACATCTGTTTATTTTAAGAATAAAGTAGTGTATCTCCTGAGAATCTCCTTGTAGTAGGAGCTCTGAGAGCCATCACTCAGTCAGCCTTTTTCCCATTATGGAGGTTTGTAACTTATCACAAGTCTACACAACCAATTTGAAGCTTTTAACTCTGCTTGTGTAAGAGAGCTTGATAGTATCCTGCCTGCTCTTTTATTTTTTTTTCTCTGTAATTTCAAGAGACGCTCTCTGTTCCAACCCAAGATCTGGGTCTCCTGAGGGAGTGAAGAATGCTGCCTCAGAGACGGACAGACAAGCCAGTTTACAGGAACAAGTTACTTAAACTTACACTTTATAGATTGTAAATAAATTGTTTGGTCTTGCTTCTACCAGTTTGGTACTCTTTGCTAGGTTGCCTCATAACCTGCAAATACTCCTTTCAGAAAACTACAGACCTACTGTGGAATGACTCCTTCCTCTACATATAACCAGGCACCAAAAACACCCAGACCTCTGAATTTTAGGAATTTGAGAGCTTGTACAGAAGCTGTATATTCCTCTGCTTTCCCTCAGTCCTTATTTGATAACCCACTCATTTTTGTCCTAACAGGGTGGTTCAGCATTATCTTATGCTCTAGATGATGCAGGAAAGTGTGATAAATTCTATACTTTCCCTTTCCTCACTCATCTGAACACGCTTTGAAGCTAGGAGATGTCTCTTCCCTCAGATAAAGGCTCACACCTGAGAGTTCAGCAGCAGCAGTGTTCCCCAAGTCTGTCTGCTCTGTAGTCAGCATTATTAAACAGTATGTTATTTTGGCTCATCTCTAACTGCATAAACTTTTTTTTTTCCCTGCTAGCTCCTCAGCTGTAGCAAAAAGGTAGGTTTGCAGAAATCAGACTGAAATAAAGCTTGCTGTTTTGTTTTATTCAGGCAGGTGGTGTTGCCTCTGGATTTAATCATGTTGTTACTAATGATCTGAGTGCTCAGAGGCTGCTGCATATCAAGGGCCGGAGAGTTGTAAGAGCCACAGAAGTCCCCCTGGCTTGGACCAGCTTCAACAGAGGAGATTGTTTTATTATTGACCTCGGAACTGTAAGTCTTTCCTAGAGCAAAACACACTGAAAAGTAAGAGATGTAGCATCCCTTCTAAGGTCTGAATCATCCCCTAAAATGCATAACTGATTTTGTCACTCACCCAAACTGACAGAAAGAAGAAAAAATCAGTTTTAGTGTCACAACACAAAATTGTCCGAAATGTTTTCCGAAGTACACACAGATTGTGCTTCAGGAAACAGTGCTCTTTCCTACTAAAGGCATTGGGATTTTTTACTACAGGTGTTTGAACCTTAAGCTGTTCACATGAAGTCCTGCCTGACTTTGACACTGTCTGCCAGCTGAATGGGATCAGTGCTTGGGTTCAGAGCAGAGCCCAGATTGGACCTTTCTCTTAAAAGCGTTTCTTCATATTCATAAAACTTTGTTTGTGATAATTCACCCTAAAGAAATAGCTGCAAAACAAGAACAAGTTGTCAAAATAAACCTGTCGTACAATGTGTTATATGGTACGTTATAAAACTACTTGAGTATTTCAAGAGATCACTTGAGAAGCAATCCCATAGTTCAAGGCTTTCTGCTGAAAGCAAGTAGCATAGTGCAGAAGCATATGGACAGATAAGATAATTTTTCTTGCTTCACATGACTTACAGTATTGACACCTTAGTATAAAAAAGTCTTAAAACGAATTCAAAAGTAGCAGCTGGGATGTAGTTCATTCTAATGAGGTGCTAGTTATCAGTTTGAAATTATTCCCATGCTTGATATGCTGGCGTATAAAGCTAAGAGCATATGAAAAAGAAAAGTTTATCTGCAAAGCAGCAACTGCAGTTGGCCTAAACTGTAGTGCTTCACAAGGAAGTGGTCAGCTATTCACCAAGGTTTCAGAGAAGAGTTTCCTGACCTATTGAAAAAGGAGCAATTCTGAACTCGTTATAGGTTTGGCTGCTGCTTCTGAAAAGCATCCCCTGGTGTCATCATTGAAGACACTGGCATCAAGTAGCCATATTGATTATGTCTGTTAGAATTTTATCAGGCTTAGCAGCCTTCAGACAGAACAACCACCAATGTTTTCCTAACATTGTCCTGTCCTCCTGTGGCACTGTGGCCTAATCATCTGAAACAACTAAATCATCAATATCCAAACAGCTGTCTCTCAATGTCACTTTTTATTAAGGATGCATAGGAGACTCAAAACATCTATTCCTTTTCAGACTTAACCCTGGGAAATGGGAAAGTTGGAATGAAACATTGATAGAAAACACTGCTTTTGCAGTCAGGCTGTCGCAGGGCTTGAGTTTTCTGGTTTGGAGTTAACCTCCCATGGACACTCTGTGGAACTGGGTGCGCTCCATGAATTTGCTTGTCCTGACCCTCACTGTGCCACGGTTACCCAGTTCACCCACAGTAATTAGTCAGGTCACGCTGTAGACATGGCAATGACACTGATGTGATGCACTGTGGGTGTATATAGTGGCGTTACGTGTATAGCTTGGGGTTCATCTTTTTTGATGAGATCTGTTGCAAGCAAAGCACGTTCATTAAGCAATTTAAATGTAATATGACTCTAGAGTCTTGATTTCCAATACTGGATGTACACTGTGAGCCTTTTTCTTTTCTTCGTGTAACATCACTCTGGTTTCTGATTTCCTGTTTGACGAGACAGATGTTAAGCAGCAATGCAACCCTGTGCCTTTGTAGGAAAAAAGATTAGATATGAACATCTAGATTTCTTCTTTACCACGTGATGGGAAATGTCAGTCACATCACATGACTAACAACGGTTCTTGGTCTTGCCATGTCAGTGATATGAGGGATGGGTTTCCTTGGATGTATTAACAAGTTAAGGAAAGTCTTCCAGCATCCAGACATTTGTAGTAATTTCATCATAGGTTATTATATAAACTAGACTTTCTTGTGGGAGATGAAAAGACAGTGTGTGGCATACTTGAAGATCTAGTGAAGTGCCTAAAGAGAAATAGGTGCTGTGTAAGACTTGCTTAAGTTTCCTACTGTGACAGTGTATTTTCTAAGAGCTATATTTCAAGTTGAAGTGACTGTATTTGAGATTGAAATTTTTTCATGGCTCTATGACTACAGGCCCATTGTAAATGGGTGAGTCTTTACAGGAACTCTTAATTGAATTTAGGGGTCCTTTGGAAAAAAAAGGGTTTTGGCTCAAGTAGATTCCTTTACTTAATTGAAATAAAATGAGTCTTAAATAGCATTGCTCTTGAGTCTTGGGATTTATTGCAGGGCACTACTGAATCATTGTCTGAGAATAACGGGCAGCAATTGCATAAAATAATGAGCTTATGGTCTGTGCTTTTAATATCAAATTAATGTAGCATATCAAATAAGATGAATTTCCAAGACTTCCTTTCCCCAGTCTCTTAGATAACCAGAAGTATGGTCTCTATGGCACTGCAAAACTGCTTGTGCAGTCCATTTGCTGTTACAGTTTATCAAGCCACTTATCTGATAAATGATTTTTCGTTATCAGTTTTCCCACTGAGCTCAATTACAGCAGTATTTTAAACCTGTGGTTTGAACAGATAAGGGAAAACTAAGAAAGGTAATAATGATCAGGAGTAAAATCATTAGTCACTAAGGTTTCCCTCCCGGTAATAGTGCCTTAAGTGAAAAGCATTTGCCTGTGTTTCCAGCTAGGTTCACATATTTACAGTTCAGGTTCTAATGGCTACTTCATACCTAGATATATTACTAAACCACATTTACAGCACTTCAAATACCCTGCTCAGGTCTTACCTTGCCACGTTTGAACTCTCTAGGCTGGAACAGAAAGTAACTGCAGATGGCAGAGAAAATGCTGTCTTTGCTATGAGGGGAGTTATTAGCTGTGGGTAATACGTAAAGACTTCTTATTCAGACAATCTTCTGTAAGACTGTGACCACCAGACTGATGTTCCAGGGCAGTGAGTGATCCAGGAGGGTGCCTGGGGTGCCAGACCCTGATTTATGGTTGTTTTTTTTTTCTTTTTGTTCTGCCAGGGATTTCCATGACACCTCCTTGATGAACCTGGGAATCTCGCTGTAAGGGAGCTTTTGGGACAGGGCAGGCAAGAGAAGTGCAAGGCAGTTGCTGAGAAGGCTTTGTACAGGCCTGGAGTAAAGCACACCTTACCTTGTCTGGCGCTGCTTAACCAGACATACTGGCATAGCTGTGCTCAAGCCCTCCCAGAAGCCATGGTCTTCTGCCACCCTTCCCATTTTGTCTTTTTGGCCAGAGGGTGCTGAGCTCTTCCTGGCATCCCACTGGAAAGGCACCAGGATGGGTTTGGCAGTTCTTGATGGCCATAAACTGTCTGGCCTTTCTCTGTGCTGTCCCCTTTACCTGCAGATGCAGCTCTCCCTGCATCAGCCCATCCTCCAGCCACTTGCCCTTAGCCACATCGCTCTTCCTCCATCACCAAGACAAGTTCTCAAAACAGCAAGGAGCATGACAGGGCACAGAAAATTACTATGGAAGGGAAGGAAAAAAATACATCATTGTGCCATCCAGTGAATAACATACTGTTTCTCAGGCTATTTGAGTATCATCCGTATGCATATGTTAATATAGCTAATACTTGCACATTTCTGATGAGATGTGCTAAAGACTTTCATCTGTTCTGCCAATTTTCTTGGTGATTGGTTTAAAGTAGGAAGGAAACATCAGTATTGTGAAGTTCACCCTGTGTACATTGGTGTACATGGATGTACAAAATGTGAATGTGGAGATGCGTTGATAATTTGGGTGGTCATCAAAACATGGACCAGAAGTAACGGGAGTAGCAATACAATAAAACAACATGAAGTGATCAGCTGATTTTTACTGAAAGTTTCTCAATTCAGTTTGGGAAGCTCTGCTGTATGAAAGCTGTCTAAAGTTGTATTCTTAGTGACCAGCAAAAATATTCTCTACGCATTTGTTCAGATAGAGCTTTGTAAGACGTAAGACTGGGTTCTCTCTGGCTGACTTCCCTCTTGGTGGGAGACAGCAGCAGTGCTAGGAGCCAAGTGACTGCAGAGGGCAGGGAGAAGGCTGTGTACAGCTCAGCCTCCTAGAAGAAATTAGGTGACAGGTGTTAAAACAAGACTGAGGGGGTGAGGAGGGTAAGATGTGTGATAAGTACTAAGCAGTTCTGAGCTTGGGCCTGACTGAGGCTGGCAAGCTTTGTCAGTACAATCAAAGTTCTGCTAACGAAATGTTACCGTTCTTCCCAAAGGAAGAGTGCAGATGGTGAGGTGTTAACTATATCTCAAGTTAAATGAAGACTGAAAGTAACTGCACTCAGTTGTCCATCTTTCCCGTTCCTATAGTGGTGCTTATAAATTGATTTACAAACAGCCAAGAGGCTGCTGGTTTGAAATTCAAGAGCCTGCAGCATGCTTAAAACCCAACTTGTGCCATCCAGCAATCTATGTATATACTTCTCAAGGGTTCCATGAATCACAAGTGAAAATTATGATGCTAGAACTCAAAAGTGTGAGACTGAATAAAGCTGTTGTGATCATGTATCTGTCAGTATGCTCCTACTTAACTCCTGGCATAATAGGTATGTCAAAAGGAAAAAGATTGCTGTCTGGCAAAAAAACACTAGGGAAAAAAAACGCATTACGCAAAAAAGCTAGCTTTTTTGACACCTACTTTTCATACAAACTGTTAACTTGCTAAAGATTAAATTCTGTTTACAAAAAGAAAATAAACTTCTGCTTTTTAGCAGTAAAAGACCAAGAGGACAAATACTTGCTTTATGATTATGACTACAGCATATGATTCAGCATCACGTTGTAACCTTATACACAGTTGTAGTTTTGCTTGCTTCTGTAATCTCCCTGCCTTCTTGCCTGTGCTATCTCTTCTAGGTGGCTTTGCTTCTCATCTTTTAGGGAAGCCAGTTCACAATCAGCATATTAATCACTTTATTAAAGTCACAGTTTGGGTATAATCAGGACTGGAAGAGCAGATTCTTACATGTTGGAGTTCATCACTGCAAGTTTCTCTTTCTAGCTGTTTTCCCTGGCATTAACAACCG